AAAATCGCATAACAGCCGAGCATACACCCAGCAGCACTGCTGATGCCTGAACGGTATGTGGAATGAAGTGGGCGGGCATCGGGAGGCCACTATGGCACGGGGCAAGCACTATGGGCAGTCTATCTGAAGTGTACCTGGCGTATAAGACGACCCCCCACTTGGAGGCATATTTTTCAGGGCCAAAAAATCGTCTTATACGCCGGCAAATACGGTAATAGAATGGAGTGCATTTTTTTCTTTATTTGATTTTTTAATGTGGGTCAACAATGGAGCTCTGCATTTATTAATTGGTTGGGCCTATTCTGATAAAATCTTTGATATGTTAAATATCTATTTTTCTTAGGTAAATTTTTTGGTAGTTTTAGTACTTAAATTACTTTTTTTGTTTATATTCACAGATTCTGGAACTTTTCAAAGCCTGACCCTCTTCTTGAAATAGTGGACCATCATACAGAGTTTACCTGTGGTTTAGATTTAAGTCTTCAGAGCCCTACTCAGGTAATGCGATCTCCTGGGGTTTTTCTTCCCATACAGTTCACAAATAGCTCTATGTGTGGCTTTTCTGAACAAAATTGCTGCCTTAAGGCAAGAGCAAAGTACATTTACTTAATCATCCTGATATCTTTTGCTGTAAAGCTGGAGCATTTGAAACACTGGGGAAAGAGAGGTATCCAGGAACTTGACATGACGCTCTCCTCTTGAAAGACTGACTTTTCTGAGAGGAAAGGAACCTTCCCCACAAGAACTGTGCCTTACATGTTGCAGGCTCCCTGTGGAAAGGGTGACAGGAGAAGAATGGAATGGGGAAGGATTGTCCCCAGAGGTTGGTGGGAGTCGAGAGTGTGTGGTCCTCATTTCAGCTGTCCCATAAGCAAGTGAGAGGATGGGCAAGTCACTTCCCTCTCAGGACTGTCACCAGAAACTACGTTAAAAGAGAGGCTTCCGATGGGGGACAAAGTAAGGGAGAATAGCTACTCTTTTAATCAATAAACTTTAAAATTCCCACATTTTATTTTCTTGAAGACTTGAGAGTTTAAATATTTAGGGCTTTTTTAAAAGCTGCTTCAGTTTTGGAAACCCAGATCAGAAACACTAGAATATGTTGAATGATAAGGCACTTGAAAACAGACTGTGTGAAAACACTAACATATCAATGAAACAATATAATATGTGGAAATTTTAGAGTATGACTAAGAAACTATGTTTTTATGACAAATTTTAGAAATTAGACAGAAACAAATCCCATTTCTCATTGCTGTGTTCTTAAATTTAAATGAATACAGTTTTTTATTTATTTTAGGAATTTAAGACATAAATCTGAGCTTAAAATATTCTCATTAGATATTAGAATAGTCTCATTAGCATTAAAATAATTGTTGTAAAATGACTTCATAGCAACTAAAAAGAGAAGAGACTGAAAGAGTGCTGGGTCAAATGGCATTACCTTTAATGTAAATACAATGTGCTTCCAATGAACTAGTTTTTTTCTGAGACATAAATCTATTATAGATGATTTTTAATAAAATATTCATACCTGTTTGCTCTCCTCGTTAAGAAAAAAGCTGTACATATTGAAAATGACATACCAAACAAAGAACCCTAAATAAATATTTTCCTCTCATATATTTCTGTTAACCTTTGTTCCATGAGTCCCAGACTATAGCCCAAGGCAACACATATGCCTTCTCGACTTCCTTGGTCCTGGCAGTTCCTCACCCCTGTCTGAGAGGTGCCAAATGTTTCCTAAATCCTCCACATAGACCGCCTTATTAAAACCAACTTTTTTCAGAGGATTTATTAATTAGACTTTATGTATTCTTAAATAAGAGAATGTATTACAAGGTCCTATATTTTGTGTAAATCTGGTGACTAGTCACCCATCTCTTCCTGTTCAATAACCAAATTTCAGTTGTACTAAGGAAATAGTTGCTATTGAGAGAAATAAGAGTGGAAAAGCAGGGTCTTCAGGCTGTACATAACCTGCAGGTTCACTGGCATAATGTACAATTCAACTGTGCTAGAAATCTCCACTGAGTTAATTCATAGTGGGACAGAATTTTGGGATTAGAAGGGACCTAAGAAATAAGACCACTCCCTCTCATTTATGTATTCTTCCCACAGACATTTTCATATGCCAGACCTTGTGCCAGGCACTGGGGACTCAGTAGAGAATGAAAATAAATGTGGGCCCTGCCTTCATAGAGCATTTAATCCACTGTTATATCAGATAATCTCAAGAAATGAATGTAAATGAGAGTTGTAACAACCCTATGAAAGAAGTACATTGTTCCTCAAGAGTTCATAATCAGGATAGACATTTGACCTACTTAAGAAATTTGTAAGGAAGTGAGGGTCACCTGAGATCAGATGAGTAGACATTAACTGTGTCGAAGAGACAAAAGGAAGAAAGATCATAACAGGCAAAGGTAACAGTATGTTACAGACGCTGCAGTGGCAGGGAGCATGGATAGTATTTGAAAATGAAAGAAAGTATTTCTTCCTTATTTTTGGTAGATTATTCAACATTAGAAATTAAGGAAATATATTTGTTGACTTGTCATGTTTTAAAAAATGGAGTGTTTAGATTATTGACTAAATGTTATGTTTGTTTCCATGTTTCCTTTTTTCCCCCTCCATTTTATTTATATTCTGTTTTGGACCTTAAACTTTCTTCCCTTTCTAACTAAAATTTCAACCAATATTTTTTCACATACCTAACATTGACACATTTTAACACAAACATTTGTATTGTTTATATTAATAACTTTTGTTTTTACTAGGAACCATTAACATTCTTTCTTCTTAGGGTAGATAAGAGTCAAGTTCTTGGTGCAGCTCCCTATTTTTCTCTCATTTATTTCATTTCAGTTTATTATCTCTTGCTATATAATAAACTCCCCACAAGTTAATAGCTTAAACAACAATTTCCTTTCCCCATAGCCCTGTGAGTCAGTAATTTGGGATGGGCTAAGCCAAACAGTTCTCTTGTTCTCACCTGTGGTCACTCATGTGGCCCCAGTCATCTGGGGCTTAGCTCCGGCTGGGTAGTGGGAGAGGGCCTCTTTCACATGTGTAGGGTACAGTGCTGGTGGTCTTCTGAGCCCTGCGCTTCCAGAGGACCAGGCTTTCTTCACTTAGCTGTTGTAGATTTCCAATAGATTTCCGAGAGGATGAGAGTAAAAGCCGCAAGGTATCTTCAGGGCTAGGCTTCGAAGTCACACAACATCCCTTCTGTTGTAAAGCAAGTCACAAGGCTAATCAGATTCAAGGAGTGAGAAAGAGACTCCATGTCCTGATGGGAGTAGCCAGAAAAAAACTGTAGCCATTTAAAATATACCACATTAATTTTTGCTGGTATAGTTAGTAATTTAATTTATTTTTGACATATTTATCCTTTATTCTCAGAGTATATGGTCAAGTTTGCTGATTGCATGTTAATTTATTTCACCATTTCTTCATAGTTTATTTCCTTAAAAAGTATGTTTCTCACTGGCTGGCATGGCTCAGTGGTTGAGTGTACACCTTTGAACCAAGAGGTGACGGTTGATTCCTGGTCAGGGCACAAGCCCAGGTTGCTCGATCCTCAGTTGGGGGCGTGCAGGAGACAGCTGATCGATGATTTTCTCTCATCATTGATGTTTCCACACACTCACTCACGCACACACACACACGCGCACACGTTAAGTTAATAACAATGTACCTACCTATATAGTTTAAGTTTAAAAAATTTGGCTCTCAAAAGAAATTTCAATCGTTGTACTGTTGGTATTTGGCTCTGTTGACTAATGAGTTTGCCAACCACTCTGAAAGCAATAATACACACACACACACACACACACACACACACACAGGGGCCTTGACTTACGAGTGTCTCGACAAACGAGTTTTTTGACATACCAGCTGTCTCTCGGCCGATTTTTTGCATTGAGTTGATAGAGTAATTTGAGTTAATGAGCTCCTTAATGAGCTCGGTCTCAAAACGAATTAAACTCGTAAGTCAAGACCCCACTGTGTGTGTGTGTGTGTGTGTGTGTGTGTGTGTGTGTAGTATATTTCTCTCACCTCTTAGAAAGTAAGTGCCTTTCAGTATACTTTCAAAAATGTGTTGTCTCTTGGGGTGAACTTAACATCTGTAGGACTTCGCTGACGTCACCTTAGGATCTCTGTGTTTTAATATATTATCTGTCTTAAAAGAAGATTTATCTGAGTTCTTGTATTTATAATTCTTTTTAGCTTCTCCCTTCTTAGAGATCTGAAAGATGAGACCCAAGGTTATTACACCTTTCTTCTTGACAGAATGTAAGCTCTTGTCTTTAAAGGTTTAAAACTTGACAAATAAGTGTCTGGGGTCATTCTTTAAGGATAATTGCTAAGAAATTCTTTGTGCCCTCACTTGTTAACCAGGCTGAAGTTATCTTTCACTTCAAAAAAGTTTTCTTTGATTTTTCCCCCTCTGATCATGGTTTGTACAGTCTTGGCATTTTCCCTTTTCTCTCTTGTCCTTATTATTTCTAAATTGGATACTCTTTTTCTATTTTTTTAGCTTTATGATTCTAGACCTTTAAGACACCCATTTATATCAATGGGATTTCCTGTATGAATATATTTTTAGAATTCTTGACTTTGTGATCTGTAGTATCAACTCTGCTTTTTCAAATGCTCATTGATATTAGTCTAGTATTTATAACTGGGTACAGGTTTACATATCTTTACACATTTCTTTTGGAAGATACTTATTTCTCTTTTAAAGTATAAATTATTAATTCATTCCAAGATATCACATGTATGTTCAATAAAATGTATCTCTTTTCCCATGATGAAAATGGGAAATCACATATAAAAGAAAGAACCAAGATTTCTACCACTCTGTAAAAAAATCAGTGATAACATATTAATATTTCTTTTCAGTCCTTTTTAAAGAAATTTTTAAATTAAAGTATAACACTCATACTAGGAAATACACATATTTTTACTGTGCAGCTCAGTAAGTTATCAAGAATGCCCATACCCATGTATCCATCACTCAGGTTAAGATATAGGACACTACCAGCATCCCAGGAGCCCTCTCAGTATTCCTCCAAAGTCTCACCCTCTCCCTTCTCCCCAAAGGTAACTGCTCTGTATTTATGCATATTTTTAATTGTTGTAGTTACACTACGCATAAGAATTTTTCTTCTGGGACTCCCAAAATACTTGGTAAACATAGTCATTGATGAATGAATATCCTAGTCCATCTATGCTAGGTATCTTTATAGTACCCTTAAAATGGGGTAGAAGAAATTTTGTATACTTTCCTTTTGTTTGGTGGAAGGTGCTTAGATTTGATTTATACAAGTTCTTTAGATGTGGTTTAAAAAGTATCTTTGGCTTTGTTGATGTTTTAGTGAAAATATTCATTATTTAAAATTCACCTTATGTTTTGATTCAAATCCCTATTCTGACAATCTTAGATACCAGGTTTAGAGGTTGACAATGGGTAAAATATTTTAAATTTCTCA